GGACGCGTCCGGTCGCTCTCTGTAATTCAGTACCGAGCCACATACCGGACACGTCCAGTCGCTATACCGGACGTGTTCGGTCACTCTGTGACCAGCGCGACTAACTCCTCTTCAACTCTATCTTCTTCACCCTTGCTCAAATGTGCCAACCACCAAGTGTATCACCTTATGCACATATGTTAGCATATTTTCATAAACATTTTCAAGGGTGTTAGCACTCCACTAGATCCAAAATGCATATGCAATGAGTTAGAGCATCTAGTGGCACTTTGATAACCGTATTTCGATACGAGTTTCACCCCTCTTAATAGTTCGGCTATCGAACGTAAATGTGATCACACTCACTAAGTGTCTTGATCACCGAAATAAAATAGCTCCTACCATTTATACCTTTGCCTTGAGCCTCTTGTTTTTCTTTCTTCTTTTCCAAGTCCAAGCACTTGATCATCACCATGGCAACACCATCATCATGTCATGATCTTCATTTGCTTCACCACTTGGAGTAGTGCTACCTATCTCATAATTACTTTGATAAACTAGGTTAGCACTTACAATTTCATCAATTCACCAAAACCAAACTAGAGCTTTCAGCCTGGGGTGGTGGAAAGGGAAAGCCGGAATGGGCTCCATGATTCCTAGGCCTAAAGGGAAGAGAAAGGAGCGCGGGCCTACAGAAGGAAGGGGGAGGAAATGAGGTCCGGCTGGGCTAGATAGGAGTGACGCGGACTGGGCCAGAGTTGGTCTGATGGTTAGGAGGTAAGGGTGAAAGGACTTCCAATTAACTCTAGGGATTTTAGGAGAAGAAGAACTACCTCCAAGCACAACAATCACAAGAACCAAATCACACATGCATCTTATATTATATGTGGTGCACCAATTTATTGGTAATCCCGATTTGAAAGGATGAGTGAGGTTAGGGTTTTGAATTTGGGATGGGAAAGGAAAACAGTTGACTTAAGTTGACCTACATTTACATGCAACATACATTCAAGCAAAAAATTTAAAAAGTTGGGATTTTTCTATTACATGGAAACACGGGATGTTACATATGTTGCAAGTGTTGTATATCGATGTTGCAAAAGTAGATTATGATGTTGCATATGTTCTAATGGCTATACATATATGTTTCAAGTGTATGTTCTAAATGTTTTATCTGTTCCAGACGTATGTTGCAAGTGTTTTATCTGGATGTTGCATGTATATGCATGTAGTAAACATATGTCTTATAAGTACGTTTGTATGTGTTTCATCTGGATGTTGCATATGCTTGCAATGGTTTTTAAATGTTTTTCAAGTGTTTTGCAAGTGTTTTAGACGCTTGTTTCAAGTGTTTCGTCTGTCTTATTTTGTATGTTGCAACTATTGCATCTGATTGTTTGTTAAAAGTAGATCGGGTGTTGCACATTGGATGCGCGTGGGAAGCAGCTGGAGGCGTGGGCGACGTTCAGGGTAGCATGGGTGACGTCCGGAGCGGCGCAGGCACACTACTGGTAGCTCGCTCGCAAGCCCAACGCGTTAGGCGCTCGCTTGTTTCTTGTGCAGTCCGCTAGCGTCCGGATCAGACGTCCGGCGCTAGCAAATCCGCAACTAAGGGGGTGTTTGGATCAACGGACCAAAGTTTCATCATTGTCACATCGGGTTTGGATGCTAGTTAGGAGGACTAAACATGAGTTAATTATAAAACTAATTGCACAGAGGGACACTAATTTGCGAGACAAATCTATTAAGCCTAATTAATCCATCGTTAGAATATGTTTACTATAGCACAACATTGTTAAATCATAAACTAATTAGATTTAATAGATTCATCTCGCAAATTAGTTACAATCTATGTAATTAGTTTTATAATTAATCTATGTTTAATACTCTAAATTAGTGTGTAAACATCAAACCTCCAATGTGACAGGGACTACCAGAACCGAACACCCCCTGAGCTTTACCTAGAGTAAAAAACAAATATCTTTTCCTGATCTCCTACAACTAAAAAGAACAAAGCGTGGACATCTTTTGGTGCGACATTTATTTTGGTTCATCCGTCTGCCTGCCCCGTGAGATACCCCGTGCGATAGAAAAAGAAACTGTTATCCCTACGATCCCCGCCTACTTTGAAAGAAACAAATCGATCGTCTGAGGCCACATGCATGGAAGGAAACAATAATCATGCATAAAAGGAAACAATAATCATGCATGAAAGAAAATAATCATGCATGGAAGGAAACAATAATCATGTATGGAAGGAAACAATCATGCATGGAAGAAAATAATAATTAATTACTCTTTTTTCAAATAGTGATCTTCATTTCGGAGCCCTTCATGCAATTTAATAATGGTTGGAGAACTAGGCTTGCGAGAACTTACTCTTAATTGGGTTGTAAGCTAGGGATGTAACACTTCAATGGGTGTCTTGGTTGAGTTCTACAATTGCCAAAAATTGATGGTGCTGATAAGATTGACAATCCTGTAACTCTGCAGTACCTTTCTTTTTTTTTTAAAAGGAGGGCAAATGCTACTTATGGTCGAATCCATGTTCTTTTTGTTGTTTTGATTTGATGCCCACAGCCCACATGTTAACTTTTAGATGTGTTTGTAAAGAATCAAAAGGAGTTAGCCTAATGCCAATCTTTCTTGTTGTTTTTTTCATTCTTTATATTTATACTAGGTAACGTGCCCGTGCGTTGCTACGGGATAACTAACAATTTATACTAAAAAAATACGGATCGCACGATAAGATAATAATACTATAAAAATTAAATACCAACATTAAAGTAACATTTAATCCAAAATACAAAGTTTATGAATTTAACACAGTCACGGAGTGCGTGGCGTCGCAGTCTCACAAACTCTACTTTATAGACCTTTTCGTGATGCGGCTAAGATAATATTTTATATTGGCAGGAAGAAATCTCTGATATCCATTTCTTTCATTGTAATCTATTTATTTGGACAATGTTTGAGGTGAGGGCACGGTTACAGTTTTTTAGTAGCTTTGCGATATTGTCCGAAGCTATGAGATGATTGATGTCTTGCAATGATCATTTCATTAATTTAGTTTTCTATCTATGTTTAATTATTTATTCAGTCTATTTTATAGGCACGCCGGTAGATAATGGATGACAAAATTCAAGCATCCATAATTTATCTCTTTGACTTTGAGGATGAGTTTTGTTTTTATTTTTTAATTGATATATTATCGTTTTGTTTTTACCATAAGCGTTAGCATGGGCATGCATGAAAAACAAAGATGTCTTTACACTGCAGAATTTTTTTAAGAAGATCATGCATAGATTATTCTTGTATTGAATATTATATATATATATATATAATCACCTAAATATTCTAATTAAACTATAAAATTTTAAATTAGGATACAAGGTAAGACATGCAAACATATATTTCAAAACTACCTGGTGAGTCCAAAGAACTTAATAAATAAATTCGTCTAGAGGCAATGTAAATTCTCTCTAATCTTTCATTTCGTGTAGTTAGTGTTATTATAGCACCCACATGTATTCATGGGAAATAAATCGTGGACAAAACGTGGACATTTTTTGGTGCAACATTTCAACATGGGTCCATCGTCCTGCCAATATCCTTGAGGCAGATCACATAAAGAATGAGAGTTCCTCTATGAGTTGCTCACAAGAGATTCAAACTTATATCTGATCATGGTAATGTTGAATTGCTTTGCATCAAAAGCATCGGCAATGATAAACGGGGACATATGTTTTAGTATGCATAGTAGAAAAAACTCAACCTTGGCCTTCTCAGCAGATTTTCTGAGCCTTTGCAGTGCTAACTTGTCCTTACTTAGATAGTCAAGAAAAGTATCACCATTGGTTGCCTTGACCTGAAAATGTGTCGAAATTAAGAATTACAACACCTAATTCAACATCTTGGAACAGACACTCAAGTGAATACCTTATTCTACAATATATGTCTGTGTGGAATAGTTCTAAAGCCACACATATTTATACGGTGAGTATAACATGCTTTGTTTTAAAATTTTATGAGAGGTTTTTTAAGACACGCAGTATTATCCATGTGACAGGCACTAATATTTACATATATACTCGAACCTGTGTGTACAGGATTATATGGAGATGCAGCAGAACTTATTCATGGATTTATTGGCGCATGAAAAAATGGATATCGGAGAATTCTTTCTGCCGATATAAAATATTATCTTAGCCATATCACGAAAAATTCTATACAGTATAGTTTGTGAGCCTGCGACGCCGCGCTCTCCGTGACTGTGTTAATTTCACAAACTTTACTTTTTGAATTAAATGTCACTTTAACGTCGATATTTAATTTAACAGTATTGTTACTTAACGTGTGATCCGTGTGTTTTTAATACAAAAGATTTAGTTGTCCCATAGCAACGCACGAACACGCTACCTAGTAAAAGTATAAAATAAAAATGGGTAAGCCAAAACGATATCTTCTCCTGAATGAAAGTAAAAAAAGGTGAAATCTAAAATATGCCTCGTTTAGATTGCAAATTTTTGCAATCTGGACATTGTAGCACGTTTCGTTTGTATTTGACAAACTTTGTCCGATCATGAACTAACTAGGCTCAAAAGATTCGTCTCGTGATTTACAACCAAACTGTGTAATTAGTTATTTTTTTTACCTACATTTAATACTCCATACATGCGTTCAAAAATTGATGTGATGGAAAGAGGGTGAAAAAACTTAGAATTTTGAGGTAACCTAAACAAGGCCATAATGGATAAGCTTTCCCGTGCAAAAATCGATTCTTCAGAAAGTAAAAAAAAAAGAAAAAGAAAAAAACAGAATGGAAAATTGGCTGGATTCAGCCCGTGACTGTGGGTCCAACCCCGAGCCGTGGAGTGGAGGCCGATGCTTCTCCTATATAACCGGGTGCCGGCGCCTCCTTCCCCATCAAGCATTCCTTTGCTCTTTGTTGCATTTCTGATCTGCAAAGAGAATCCCCAACTCCAGGTAGCTCGTGGTTTAGGGTTCGAGAGGCGGCGAAGATGTCGGCGCCGTGGTGGGACTCGGACTGGAAGGACCGCTCCGGGCCGGAGTACCGCGCTTTCGTGAGCAACCTACCCTACAGCACCAACGAGGGCTCCCTCAAAGACGCCTTCTCCTCCTACGCCCCCCTCAACGCCGATGTGAGCGTGTCTCTTCTTGACAGATGGCTTCATCGATTTGTGTACACTGATTGATTACCTGGTCCCGTGTTGTCTTGGATGAATCTACACGTGTATGGGCGTCGTTTTCTAGTCTTGATGTTGTTCTCTAGGTCTTGGTTGGTCCCTGTCTCGGCACGTGTTTTGGATCTGTGTTCCCCTATCTCCAACACTAATTTTTAACCTATTTACTAGATGTGTCCATATGCAGCTGTTTTCCCTTTTGCAGTTTGTTTCCTCGTTGTTTAAATCTAGAGACTAAAGTCCAGTAGTTGTCACATCAGGTATTTATGTACTAATAAGAAAAACTAAACATGAGTCTAATTAGATTTAATAGATTCATCTCTTTTAGATTAGTCTCAATCTATGTAATTAGTTTTGTAATTAGTCTACGTTTAATATTCCATGCTTATGTCCAAATATTCGACGTTACGTGGACTAAATTTTAGGTGGAATACCGATTACAAGTTCTATACTTCAATTAATTTTGGCCCGATCGTTTGGATCTGTCCCCCTGCACGTGTCGGTTTTAGATCTGCTGCTGTTTCTCCTTTAGCTTCATCTGCTAAATACTACTGTAGTAAAGTTCTGAATTAATTTTGGCCCGAACGTTTAGATCTGTACTTGTTTCCAGGGCAGTTTGTTCATTTATTTGGATATACAATACTGTATTGCGGCTAACATCTGCACTTCGTTTGCAGGTGGCGTATGATCCTGACACGGGGAGGTCCCGTGGCATCGGGTTCGTGCAGTTCGATGACAAGAAGTCGATGGACAACGCCATCCAGGGGATGAACGGCCAGCAGGTCGGGGGCCGGACCATCTCCGTCAGCGAGGCGAACCAGCGCCCGCGCCGCTGGAGGGCGTGAGCCGCCGAGCAGGCCGGCGCCTGGCCAGCGGCCGCGGTCAGGGCGTCAGGCAGGCTTACGGCGGGCCAGTTATCATCACCCTTATCGTTCGTTAGCTACTATATCAGTAGTGTCTAGTCCTCTATCGTTCCAAGTTTAGCAATTATCGTTTGTCTAGTTAGTGTCGTTGGATGGAACTTGATGGTGCTAAGGTGTTCGTTGCCTTTGATGGTGCTAAGGTGGTCGTCGTTGGCTTTGTCGTGCCTGTGAACTCGACAAGTTATCAATGGAACTTATCGCATATTTGTGTCCTGGGCGTATGGGTTTTTGTTTTAATCGACTGCAATGCCTGAGCAGCTGATCTGTTTGCACGGGTGCATGTTTGCCGTTTGCACAATTAGTTTTTTTTAAATGTGCAGGTAGCGACATAGTAAAGAACACATGGTGCTATTGCTTTCATTAGCAATTAGTAGCAAGCACCATTTTTTGATTGATTTGCTTGACTATATTGGGTTGAATACTCAGACCTCTAAACCTAAATTGCAATGAAAATGGTCGTCGGTTTCTGGAATGTCACCAACTTGCATGGATAATCAGTATGGCATAGTCTATCATTCCAAGCCCAACATTATATTGTAACTATTTAGGTCTCTTTAAGGACTTAGACAAATCTATTTATTTTTTTTAAAAAATGGGAGGTTCTCAAATCCTACATAGGAGATTGGCATTGCTAAATAACATATCGCAAAAAAGCTAAGCGCCACCAGTAAGCACCCGCATTATACATGCTCTAATTAGCGGCCTATTGCTCCTACTCCAACTCGAGTCCTAGTATTACTGCGTGCAGAATATTATACTTTACATATATGACTCGCAACGCCATGTTATAACCTCTTGGTATTTTTTTTATTATAGCATACATCCTTTTCCATGGAACATTTTCTATTTTATAAGAACAGATACTTGCTCCCAGTTCAAAAATGATCCATCATGCTAAATATATTCTACTTGATTCAAAAAAAATCTATTGAGTAAAAAAAAGGCTTAAATAGATTTTAGTCATTTAAGCGACAGATAGCACCGCCCTTTTGGTAAGCATGAGAGAATCAGTTTTTTTTTTTTTGAACAAATGACACTAAGAGTGCCCGTTTATATTAATATAGCAGAAAATACAACCGGATATCCCCGAGCAACAACTTGTTAGCCTAGATAAGATAAATATTATATTGCCTGTGTTTGATGGATGGGAGTATGGGACAAGTCATTTTTCTGTTTGGTTGGATGGATGAAAGTGGATGGGACGAGAATAGTTGACTAATTATATCTATTATTTAAAAATAATAATAATTAATTAGACACTAATAAATATGCACTATTACTAATTTTATCATGATAATCACTAATTAAAAATAAATATGTTAATTAGCACCACTAATAATCTAATTAGCACACGAAACATATACTAATCAACGTATTAGCATTTATCAAAAACTAATTTACCATCATACTCAAAGACAACTAAAGCGTCGCATGCATGCATGAGGTCCTAGTACCCAAGCGTCACATGCATGCGTGGGGCCTAAGACTGACTCCAACCATAAGACCCAAATACAACACCTATATCTCGGTTTGGGTCCGGCACAGTGAAAAAAAGTCACCACGCAAAAGTGAGCCTCTCCAACCGACCGCAAACGTAAAAGCTCCCAAATCCGCCGGAGGTCGCCGCCTCATCCGTCCAGGACCGCGCCAAGGACATCCTCGTCGTCGTCTCCGGCCTCCACGCCTCCACGCGCGCTCCTCCTCCAACACCGGCGGCGGGCGCGGGTGAGCTCCGCCCCGGCACGGAGGACCCCAGATCCCCGCTCCCCGACGGCCGCGCCCCGCTCCCCGCCTCGCCACGCGCTCCTCCTCCAACACCGGTGGCGGGCGCGGGCGAGCTCCGCCTCGGCCACGGCGCCGGCGAGCTCCGCCTGCTCCGCCTCGGCCACGGCGCGGGCGAGCTCCGCCTCGGCCACGGCGCGGGCGAGCTCCGCCTGCTCCGCCTCGGCCACGACGCGGGCGAGCTCGGGCGAGCTTCGCCTCGGCCACGGCTCGGGTGAGCTCTGCCTCGGCCACGACACGGGCGAGCTCCGCCTCGGCCACGCCTCTGCACGCGGGCGAGCTCGGGCGAGCTCCGCCTCAGCCACGGCGCGAGCGAGCTCCGCCTCTGCGATTTGCGTAGCGAGAGAGAGGGGACGCTTTTTTGCCTGGAGTTCAGGCAAAATGCGTCGGGTGTATGGGTCCGTCGTTGGAGGATGTTTTCGGGATGGCAAACAACTGTGCCGGACGTAAAAATGGGTGTGGATCTCCTCGTTGGAGACCGTCTAAGGGCCTATCACCTAAGGGAACACAGGATGAGTTCGGCGCAAAAAAAAAAGGCTGGCGGATAATTATGCCAATTAATACATTTGCATGCTGTGATAGACGGATGTCTTGGTATCTGAAAATTGGCTTCTCACGTATGGTATAACGGATTACTGAGTAATAATATAACATACTAATAATTCTTAATTTATTTACTAATGACAAATCTGATTAGAAGACATAGATAAGCTGGTTCGTGAGATTTCTACTAACTAAGAAATCCAGCATCTTATGGTATATTCCATGTCCAAAGATTTTCTTATCCCAATGATCCACCAAACCAAACACTTCCATCCATGGATATCAAGCAACCAAACAAACCGACAAGTTTTATCTCTATATGAAACCAATTTCATCCCACAAGACTTTTAGTTTCTCTCTTCATCAATACTATGACATTTTAGCTTATTTAATGTTCACTAATTGAGTGCCTATACGTTGCTACGGGTAAAACATCTCATGACATTCAACCACACAAGTAAAATATATGTAGAATTCCATGTAATCACAAATAATTAATATTAAAATACATAATTCAAACTTTTTTTAAAAAAATAAAGAAACCGGTACGATGTTATTAACTTCACCCAGACTGAGGAAAAATAAGCAACAATTCATTGTTTTTTTAGACTAATACAACGTTGAAGATAATGTCGTACACCTTCAGGTATGTTGGCTGCGTTTTGGTTTCCCGTGTATGTGAGTAGGTGTAGCGAGATGTGATTCCTCACTTCATAGTATCCTGCCAGATTTTTATACACATATATAGTTAAAATGTATGTAGGTGAAAAAAGAAAATTATATACAAAGGATAATACTCACATTATTGCAAATGGATGTTTCTATGCTTTTGCCATTCCACGCACGCATGGCATGTAGAACATTATACGCCCTGTTTGCTTGGCTTATAAGCCGTATTTTTTCAGTCGACGAACAATATTTTTCTCTCACAACAAATCAGCCAACAGTACTTTCAACCATGACTTATCAGCCAAGCGAACCGGACAATAATTAGATAAGTCCATGAGGAAGCATTAAATTGTTACTATTGTGTGTGTGTGTATATATATATAGAGAGAGAGAGAGCTACTACCATGTAGCTGGCTACAAAATAACTTATTATGTAGCCACTTTGAGTTACGATAATTACTATGTTAATTTACGAGATTATAGTAACTCCTTACTAAGTGGTTTATTATAACGTTATGATAAATATCCTATGTGTTATAGTAACCCAACTATCGTAAATATATATTGACATTATCGTAAATTAGTATATAAAATTATCGTAAATGGAGGTGGGTACAGAATAACTTATTTTGTAGCTGGCTACTGAATATACTCTCCCTATATATATAAGAATATAAAAGGAGTTTTTATTGTAAAAGTAGTTATCCATTTAACTCAAATTGGCCGACTTATGCACCTCTATGTTAAATAGGATTAAATCATCTTGCCACCTAGGGCACGATACTTTCATGACTTTATTTAGGATAGTGGAAACCCGTTGAATTTTGGTTGTGTGCCGGGGTCAGCGTCACGGGGCGAGGTCGTGGAGCCGAGGCTCGTACGTCAGTTGCTGGAAGGAAACGTGCGGCTTGGGGCGCGGAATTGACCGAGGCGAGGAAGAGGAAGAGGAATTGACTCAGGCGGGGCGATTAGGCGGGGTGATTAGTTTAGCGGGCGATTAGTTGTTAACTAAGATGATAACATGTGGGGTTTTTTGTTGTAGAGATAAAACTCTTACGAAACCTCGTTGAGACTGACATTTCTTAATGCGAACACCAATTCTTTCGTGAGAAAAGTAGAAAATCATTAATGATCGTGGACCACTCAGTGCTCCTACGCCATGTGTTATGCGGAGCAGCCTGTTCGCTTAGTCGTAAACGATCGTGAATTATAATCCGAATAATATTTTTCTCTCACACCAAATCGGTAAAAGTAATAATCCACGATCGTTTCAGCTGAAACCAGCCCGGGGGGCAATCCTGTTCCCTATGTGGACTCATGGAGTTCAATTGGACTTTGGGCCGTGTCGCTGCCACTCTTCCCAAGTCAAGGCCCACCACGAGTCTACGACCAGTCGAGAGTCGACCACGTGCTCCGGCATCTCCTCCGCCGGTGCCATCTCCCCGGGCGCTGCGCCGTCGATCCCCCGTGGCGCAGTCAAACAGCCCAGCGGCGTGCTCCGGCTCAGATTCCAGCGCCGCGCGAGGGCGCTCCCCTACCTCGACGACCGACCGCCATTCGCCAAGGACTCAAGCGCACGCGGACGCGGGCACTCTCCCAGCAAACCCCGTATGCCACACACAACCTAACCACGCCACAAATTGACGGGACCAACTTGACGAACTCTCGGCTCCAAAGCTTTGCCGGCCAGTCTCAGCAACCCTTCCCCTACCCCGATCGAGAGCCGTTGGAATCGCGCGTCTCGGTCGGGATCCGGCGCTGCCGCAGCCCGATCCGATGCTCTCCGGCGTCGAGCACGACGTCCCCGACGGCATCGGGATGGCGCGGCTCGCGTGGACGCGCCTCCCCACCGCCGACGGGGAGAGGGCGGGGCCCTCCACTTCTGCGGGCGCGGACGGCGAGCTCTTATCCGCCGCCGCCATCGAGAG